AAAAAAATATGTATTGAGTAATGTTCCCATTGTTTATGAGGTAACGTTTGTTGTACTGATAGCGCAATCGTTATGAGCGCCATTGACGTTCGCTCAACGCAAGTTCGGTGACTGGCTGGGTGCATGTTTTGCGTTAATCCTCAAACCTACTGAAAAACCTCATGCCACATTTGCGGCTAGCCCATGCCACGCTCGGAGCTGTTATGAGTGTGGCTCGTTCTTGTTGTGATAAATTTGGGGGGATTACTACACCCCTACAGTTTATTACAGGGCAGCATTGATGCGTTATCGTGACATAATTGCCGATAAAATTCGGCACAAGCGTTGTCGGCCAGCTACATCCAGGAAAGTAATATTATGATACAGTGTTAAAGGAATATAGAGCGCGAATCATACTGTTCTATACTTGTCAAATGTTTCTAAGGCTTCAAGCTGTCCTTTAAAGTATCTCGTGTTGATGTCGACCCAATGAATCAAAGTAATGAATTGCCACTTTTCCGTTAAGTTTAACATCATTTCATCCTAGGGCATCTTTAAGATTGGACAGGAGATTAGAAAGAGTCTCATAGAAAGTTTTGAGAAAGACTTACCCGTGTGAATACCAATACGTATCATGACCCTGTACGATGGCATATGTGAAATGCGAAACTCTCTGAGTTTTTTCAGCAACGATATTGACATCAAACAAATTTCTCTGATGTGTTCCGTGCCGTTCCGATGAGGTAGTCCAGATACACAAAGATATGCATCGCCGATGGTCTCCACCTAAGTTGACATGACTTAGAACGAAAAATACCCTGATTCTGTTGAATTACTGATTCTAAGTGTTTGACCTTGTACACATCCTTTTCTGCGATAGTGCTGTCAAATGCTGTGTAGAACTCGTTGAGAAAGTCGACAACCTGAGAGGTAAAAGTTTCAGATCAATTTAAACATCTTACTACTAGTTTCAGGCACCATGGACAACTCAGTCAAACCATTTCACCACTTTTTTCTTGATCAGGCAGAAGCACTGTAGTACTACGAGCTATTAGCTTTCATCTTCAGACTACACAATCATTAGCATGCACTTTCCACTACTCTGTTAAGATGTTAAATTTGGTAGGAAAACATAAGCGCGTTTTTACCTGCATAGGTGTGCATTTTGATGATAATTCTGTGAAGGATACAATGTCTGAGAAAAACACGGTCACACTGTCAAATGCTTCCGGGACGATTGCTTGACCCTGTCTCAGCTGTTCTGCTATTTGCCTTGAAACAGAATAAGGATAAATGTTTATGTTGTGAAACAATTTAGATTAGTTTTGTCGTGTTCAAATTCACAGATGTTTCTCTCCAGATAGTAATTGGTCAACAAAAATCAGTAAAAGATCACACTCTCAAGGCAGATTGCTGTAAGCTATCTGGTCTATCCCTATTGAGTGAAATGGGTTCGCTCTCAACCATCGCATGCGCACAGAGCAATATTTCCGCGTATTTGTTTAAAAAATATGGTCAGAATTTAGCCCGCAGGCTTATGACACAGCCTCGAACCATAGCTGTGGTCACTGATTTGCGATAATACCTGCAAATTGCGCACTCGGCGCTTCGAGGACGAATCCTTTTAACTCATTCATGCAAAAATTAGGCTTCAAAGCAAGTAAAAAAGCATCAAGAACTTTCAAAAATAGGGACTTTAGAAATCTTTGTCAAATGCAAAAAACTTTGCTTTAGAAGTTTTTTGATCGCAGTTGAAATTCGTTCCAAGTGGTTCTATAATTCATGAGCGTGAAAAGAGTAGTAAGTACATGTTCTTTGATCACTAATAGAGTAGGTGTGCCAGTTATTCTTTAAAAAGTACATTTTGGTTCAAAAGCAATTTGATGATAGTTATAGGAAATGATCCATATGGATTGATTAGAAATTCACATTTTTATAATTTCCAGTTACAGCCGATATTATACTTTAGCATTTGAATAGTCAAACTTTTTAAATGTTGAAGTTTGGAGCACCATTTAAGCGATCTGCTTCGCAGTCTAACTATGGACGCACCCTTTAAGTTCGCAGCAAGGTCAAAATCTTATTTACGCAAAAAAGCCCTTTGCATAAAAGCAACTCTGCTCTTTTCAGTGTAAGCCTGCGTGAATCATGTAAACCAGCTTTGTTAAAGTTACAGAAACGGTTTCTTAAAGCCAACTTTTACAACTTCGTGTGTGCTGACTGCATAATGCGTACTTTGGAAGCATTCGACTCAGTAAAAGATCGCTCTTCTTTTTTTCATCAACTAGCTCCTTTGTACGTGCTTCAACTTCATCCTCAAGAGAATTTGCGTAGTTTTCCATCATTTTGAATACGTGGTCCATAAGATTTGCACGCCTAAAAAACTTGATTGACAGCATATAATGACTAAAATTAGTATCTCAAAACTTAAACACTGCTGTAGAAAATGGGATACGGCTTATAGATAAATATATTTACCTTCCTCCAAAAGATGCTTTTAGCACAACCCGCACATCCTGAATTCTTGGTCTGTTTTCGGGTTCCTCTTCCCAGCAATCGCGTACCAGGTGTATCTGCAAGAAATCCATTAGCGAACAAATTGTAGTTTTACATGCTTCTTCGGTTTGTCAGCTCTCTCATTGAATGCTGAGTCTAGCGGTAGCTCCGCCTCCTAGGTCTCCCCGCAGAATGGTATCGCGCAATTAATTGCGATACAGTTCGAATTCAAATAAAAGAGGTTTTAGTGGGATAAATTGACTTATATATTGGTCAGAGTTGCAAAATTAAGATGAGAACTCTTGAAAAGTCGTACGTAGTGAAACTCAGAATAGAAAAAATCTTACCAAGTCCGATTTCACTTCAGTCTGTGAGTCCGGCTCCAAATCAGGTCTCATAACTCTTCTTCCTCCTTTCCTTACCATATATAGAATATCTTAATAAACATGTGTACATATATATTTATTTATTATTTATATTCTAACTGCCGCGTCTATAGTTAACTAGCCATTTTAAATTTGTATTTAAAACGATAACAGGTTGTAACCTCCAGCAACCTTTCTTCACGCGCTCCTTAGGATTAACTAAAAACAATCTGG